AGTTAGGTTGTGGGTGAGTAGTTTTTTGTCAAGTATAACGTGGAATGCGGCTTGGTTAGTTTGTACAGTGGTGTCATTTATAGTGAAAGATGGGAAATATTAGACTGTTTTGTGTTTAGCAGCACTGTGGTACTTCCATCTATGCGTGAGTGAAAGTTTTGTATTCCAATAGTTCAGTGGAACAAATTGAGGAGAGAATGGCCATAAAAACCCTTAATATTTTGAAGGAATGGAGTCAATTTTGTATTGCTAACGCTGTTCTTCGAAACCAGATTCAGCTCGTCATTAGATTAACAGATTAGGCTTTTGGGCTATAGTATGCACCCAGATGCCAGGAACTAAGATGCTTTATAAGGTGTTTATCACACATTGATTACTCTAAGCTTATTAGGGAACCACTGTTGCGTTAAGGCAACCGATGACGGAAAATAGAATCATGAATTTATAATTCTTATCACTTGACTTATCTTTCAGCTTTCAATGTGCGCTCTTTCTGATAAAATTCTAGTTTTTTACTGAAAACTGTCAGAAAATGACTTTTCTCACAGTTAACAATTTGGATGACACCTTTTAATGATTATTTTGCCATTTTGGTTGATTAAGGTAAAATAACGGTAGGGAGCTGGGCCCATGTCCGAGAATTCGTGGGTTCGAACCCCGCCGGCAGAAAACTCCCCGTGTAGTAAAGTGACTTATGCACGTTAAATCTGTCGAGTCGCAAAAGTCCTCCATGTTCCCATAACAAATCAATACCTCTGGAGGTACTGGATTGGAGATCGATCGTTCTCTGATTCAGGTCAAAATTACGACCTGTGGATGAATGTATGGATGTATGATTGGGTCCGCCCTATAAACGGGTGCGACGTATGGTGAGGCAAAAGTCGAATTCTTGGTCATAGATGGCGCCACTGAAAAACAAGAACTATCGCACCCCCTCTATCTTAACAGGCATANTGTCAAAAATGTAAAGGTAGGTAGAGGGGACATAAATAAGCATATTTCGGATAGGAATGTGTGTGCGGTAATGGCACATTAAAGCACTAGCTTGTAAAGCAGTATGAATCAAAGGAAACTGAAAAGACAAGTAAAGACAAAAGAAAATTCGATTCCCTACCGGCTCAAGGTGGCATTACCGCACGCACAATCCTATACGAAATATGTTTATTTAGGTCCCCTCTACCTACTTTTACATTTTTGACATATATTTTAGGACCACTCTGTATATATATATATATATACATCATTCATGCCTTCAATAGGTTGTTGCGGGAACGCTGTATACACATATCACAAACTATTATTTCATGCTTTATATATTTATTTATTTTTCCACAGTTGAAGAAATCATAGTTTTCTTGGAATTTAAAAAAATATTGACATAAAATTACGCTTGGTTTGTGCTACCATTGATAAAATGTAAAAGATAGAATATTTAAGGGAATTTATGTTAGATAAAAATTATGTTAGATAGAATTTATATTAGATTTATATTAGAAAATATTAGAAAAATATTCCCTTCATATAAACATAATTCCCTTTTTCTAATATAAATTATATTAGAATTTATATTAGAAAAAGGGAATTATGTTAGATAGAATTTATATTAGATTTAAAATTTCAGTGAGCTCTTTAGAATTACCTTTGAGATCTGTGGTATTAGTGGGTTAAAATATGCTTCAAATAATTCCACCCATAAAATATTATAAGAAAAAAAAAGTATCTCATCTGAAGAAGATTATTTGGCTGGAAAGACAAGAAATCACACGGACTTCTATTTTATTCTCTTGATATCCTCCGACCAATCTTCTTGAAGGATATATCTGAAAGAGTGGAAGATAATTGAGGTCACCTTGTGTCACGTTTGGAGAAGGCATCTCCAGAGAAAATAGACTTTTGTCAGGAGCCAGATAATACTTGGAAGTGTGCAGCTGAAGTCTTTAGCAAAATAATACCTTTCCGCTTTTTGACTTCTGGATTGGAAAAAATGATTCGAAGACTACGGCTTAAGGCACATAGTTGAAAAAAGTGAGCCATTGGACGTTGTCAATGAACAGAAAATAGCTTAATAAAGTTTAATTAGTTTTAACAAGGACTTATTGGAAAAGCTAACATTTTAAGTATGGGATATGACATACTATAGAAATATTTTGCAAGGAAGTGGAAAATTTCTGATACAATCGTTGTTGTTAAGATATTTTACAATTATTCTACTTGTTAACTTTTTGTTGCTGAAAAGGATTAATATTTTCACTATCGCATTTGACTATTTTTGTCAAGCAAATACAGTGTGTCTTAAAAAAGGTTTTTTAATGAAATGGTAAAAAGTTTTTCGAAATTATTAAAGGCATGGTAGGGAAGTGTTATATTCTTCTAGTTATGAAGTTCATGTTTCGAAGGTAATAACGCTTTTTTAGAACGATTAGAATGAACAGACACATTTATTCATATTCTTGAGAAGTAAATACTAAAAGCTTGTTTAAGTTGAAATTACCAAATTTATTTTGTGAAATCTGTAGGTAAATTAATACTGGATAAATTAATACAGAAGAGGTCAATTAATACTGGGTTCATCATAAATTTTGACAAACTTTATTTCATAAAAACTATTTGAGTGTTGCTGTAAAATGACAACTTAATGGTTAGAAGAAGCCTAAACTGTAATAATTGTTAAGCATGATTTCTGTGCAATATACTGTATATTGAACCCCATTCTGATTCAAAAGCTCATCTTAATGATTTTGAGTCTTATTTCACTTACACGCATGCCGATTTTCCATACCATTGCATACGTTCACGTTAAATTGTCTTGGTTTGTTTCCTTCGGCCACCGCGGTTTTTCTTCTTATGTTTTCTGCATCGCTTTCCTTTAAATTGCTACGTTAGCTACTGGAAATTTTCGTATGTCTAACTATTTTTACAATTCTGTCAACATCATTCACGTGTGTCACAAACCAATAAATGCAGGTGTAGGTAAATCGTAAATGTCAACCACATTTTTTTCCCATTGTCCACCTGGATAATGACCTAGGTCATACAGGCACCTGAAGGGCAGATTTGTTGGCCACTCTTTCAGGGGCAACATATTAGGTGGGCCAACATTGCTGCCACAGTAGGGACAGATAGTACAGAGATCGAAACATCCATGCCTATCCCGGGATTCGAACCCAGAACCTTTCTGGTACAAGGGCAGTTCCCTAACCCCTACACAGGCCGGTCGGCACTATCAACCACATTAATTTTCCATTGAGTTTTCAAGAGGTATTCTCCGAAAACATCTCAGCCCTGGACTTTATCTCTCGCCTGATTTATGTCACAGCTGACATTGAAAAATCATATAAGCTAATTTTTTTTGGCATCCACTAAGCGCTTATAAAGGAATTATTCTCCAACTTCATATCTCTTAATTCATGAGATCTACAAGCGCATTTATTAAGCATAGAGCTTCAAAAAAGATTGCTCGGTTTCTACTATTACTTGGAGCTTCCCAGACCGAGCAATATCACCCGCCAAACGATGTGCGCAGTGTGGAGGTAGCGGGTTCGAATCTCAATGTTGTATTGGGTGTATCTTCGTGTTGTCCTTCTCAGTATTGTGCTATCTGACCTCCTACTTGACAAAGGCTTATATGCCTTAATTGACTACATAAGCATTCACATATATGATAAACCAATAGATAAGTCCCACAGTGGACTAATCGTTAAGACACGGTTCCCAGCAGATCACCGAAGTCAAGTATCACTGNTGTGCAATATACTGTATATTGAACCCCATTCTGATTCAAAAGCTCATCTTAATAATTTTGAGTCTTATTTCACTTACACGCATGCCGATTATCCAGACTATTGCATACGTTCACGTTAAATTGTCTTGGTTTGTTTCCTTTGGCCACCGCGGTTTTTCTTCTTATGTTTTCTGCATCGCTTTCCCTTAAATTGCTACGTTAGCTACTGAAAATTTTCGTATGTCTAACTATTTTTTACAATTCTGTCAACATCATTCACGTGTGTCACAAACCAATAAATGCAGATGTAGGTAAATCGTAAATATCAACCACATTTTTTTTTGCAATGTCCACCTGGATAATGACCTAGGTCATACAGGCACCTGAAGGGCAGATTTGTTGGCCACTCTTTCAGGGGCAACATATTAGGTGGGCCAACGTTGCTCCCACAGTAAGGACAGATAGTACAGAGATGGAAAGAACATCCATGCCTATCCCGGGATTCGAACCCAGAACCTTTCTGGTGCAAAGGCAGTTCCCTAACCCATACACAGGCCGGTCGGCACTATCAATCACATTAATTTTCCATTTAGTTTTCAAGAGGTATTCTCCGAAAACATCTCAGCCCTGGGGTTTTGTCTCTCGCCTGATTTATGTCACAGCTGACATTAAAAAATCATATAAGCAAATTTTTTTCTTGGCATCCACTAAGTGCTTATAAAGGAATTATTCTCCAACTTCATATCTCTTAATTCATGAGATCTACAAGTGTATTTATGAAGCATAGAGCTTCAAAACAGATTGGTCGATTTCTACTATTACTTGGGGCTTCCCAGACTGAGCAATATCTCCCGTCAAACGCTGTGTGCAATATGGAGGTAGCGGGTTCGAATCCCAATGTTGTATTGGGTGTATCTTCGTGTTGTCCTTCTCAGTATTGTGCTATCTGACCTCCTACTTGACAAAGGCTTATATGCCTTAATTGACCATATAAGCCTGCAAATATATGATGAACCAATAGATAAATAAATAAATAAATAAGTGTCCGCCTTAGCCGAGCGGTGTCATCCCGCCAACGCTGCTCCAAGATTGGAAGTAGCGGGTTCGAATAACGCTGTTACACTGGGTGTGGGTCGTGCTATCTTTTTCTGTATTTTGCTATCTGTCCTTCTACTTTACAAAGGTTTATAAGCCTTTATTGAGCACGCAAGCTTGCAAATGTATATTGCATTAATAAATAAACAAATAAATAAAATAAATAAATGCTACTATTCATTCACGTGCTGTTAGTTTTGAGAATGAGCAGTATGTTCGACTTATTGACTTTTATTGAATTTTTTTCCCAACTTTTATGAAGTTCCAATTAAAGTAATTCAGTATGGTAGTTTGATGAACTAGAAAGAAAGTAAAATCCTCCATCCTAAATATAATCACCATTGCCTACCAGAAGAAATTCAATTTTTAACAAAAACTTATGTACAAATATATCTGATGCTAATTTATACATCAATTATTCTTTCATTCTTATTGTGTTACAGAACTAATGTGTTCATTGTTAAAAACTGATGAAATTCCTTCCACAAGTTGTAAAAAAAGAACTGGAATATCAAACCAGTGAGCTATCATGAGTAAGTTCAAACTTAAGTTTAAACTTTTAATTTATTAGATATTTTTCATGTTTTAGATATTATTAAGTTTGCCCCAAAAGTTCATATAAATACGATATTTTTGTTACAATTATGCTCATTAGTTTATGCAAGTAGCATAATTATTTACAGTTAAATTTTTATTTATATATGTCAGCTAAATGTTACATAGAATAAAGGATTTAAAACTGTCGTTTTCCAAATTCTGAGATTTCAAATTGTGTGTACGAGGGAATTACATAAACGATTTGTTCGAAATATAATTTACACGTTGCACTAAAATTTAAATAAACCAAATCGTAATGCAGATAACTTGAATGAGTAGATTATAAATCAAACGTTTTGCAGGATTAGAAATCAAAGAGTTGGGTGCATGGTTATTTTCAGAAAACTTGCCCTTTTGATGTCCCATGACTTTAAGTAATTTTAATCACTGAAATTAAATTTTAAATGACAGTTTTTAGCAATCAAGTTCCTTTACTATATCCTTTTTATTAAATGTAGATACATTAGATACATAGAAATTAGTATTTTAAAAATAATGCCTGTTTAATGCCTTTTTAATGCGATAAAGCTTAAATGCTATATCTCAGCTTTCTTTGCTTCATATTTTACTACAATTAAACCAACTGCTAATTGAAAATAATTTTAATTTATCTAGTTGTGAAAATTGTGTTACTTATAAAACGCAGATCAGCTTATCTAACATACAGATTAAAATTTCTTTTTAGTCAAAATCAAGCATTTTTATATTGTCCCGGGATTTCTTTTCAGTCTGTTATCATAATGAAACTAAACTCAGTGGCGCGACAGCCCATAGAGGGCCAAGGTCCACTATGTCCATCTCAGTTTTCTTGACCTTGAGCTCTGGGGTGCAGAAGAAGTTGTTCCGGTTAGGTGGTCAGCCGGACGCGAAACCCCCAGTGTTTAGTTCCCAAGCATGCTTGGTACTCATTTATCGACCCACTGCAGGGATGAAAGACTGAGTCAACCTTCCCCGCCCCGAGGATCGAATCCAGGACCTGTGGCACGGGAGCGTGAAGCGATACCACTCAGCCATCGGGCGTCGGCCACCGGGTTTTTTTAAATATTGCATTGAAATATTTCTGTTGAGTTGGTCAAAAAAAAGTCAGCAAAAATTTAATTCTACATAATCTGAGTTGGCAAAAAAAATCTATTTTCGTTTTTTTCCTGGTCTCCATGGTTTATTTTTAGATAAGGTAGCCATTTTTAAAAATATCTTTATATTCTTTGTATTCTAAGAAAATAACGCTTAGACGAAATAAGGATGTTTTATTTTCACTTTTTTTACGATTATTAACATAACTTTTTTTAAAAATTTATTGTTTCACTGTTCATTTGATCAGATCGAATTACGTTTTTCAGTTTTTTTAGAAACATTTCTTCTTTTCAAGTAAGCCTGTATGAATTAACTGACTTGCAGTTTGCTTTTCCCTTTGTTACTCCCTACACTGTGTTACCATGTTCGAGAAAAATTTGTTTATTGATTTTTTTTTAAAATTTAGCATTTCATTAAATATTAAGTTCCTTAAGAGAAATATAGGTAGCTTGTATGACTAGAACATGCGATGCAAGAACATTTAAGTTTAGGTCTACTGTCAACCCTCTGTTAACTTTTTCCAAGCAGTTGCCAATAATTTAAAAACTGCATTTTCCTGTATAAATTTTAAAAAAAGCAGTTTTAGTAATTAACAGTGTGTTTAAATTTGACTAGAGTGTAAATTATTTACGTTTGAAGGTAACTTTCTTTTATTTAAACATTTTGAACAATGGTAACAGATAAGAACACAAAGCATATTTCAACACGTTTTTTCTTTTATGCTCCAAATCAAGAAATTGCTCTTCTGTTTTAAGTTTCATGGATAAAAACATTCCAATTGCAGCTGAAATTTTTATAAGTTATAGTTCGAATATTTGTTTTTGAAAGAAAAATGTTTCTGAATGTTCCTCAATATTTTGAAAATGACCCACATGCCAAGTTTGACCAAAATAAAGAAGTATCTAATATGCTAACGAAGCAAACACGAATTTCAAAGCTATTGAAGGAAACAGGGGAATCAGTTCCGTGGGTTGGCGAGTGCAGCGAGCTGGGGGTGGAGCCCTCCAGTTATTTAATTATAAGAATGTGATGCCATAATTGGCATTACATATTTATTTTCTATCCTTTTAAAATATCTTTCATTACTTAAGCTGATTTTTATTAATAGAATTATATTTTAAATAAATCACAAACTTAATCTTTTTAAAACGATCATAAAATATTTATTTCTTCTCTTCTAGATCAATGTAACGGATACTTTTTTTTATTTCATTACTAATGCAGACTTATATATTCACTGTCGCCTTTAATCGAAAACAAAAATCTATTTATAACTTTTTATTCTAATTTTCCAACGGCTAAATGTTTCGGTTGCATGGTTGTAATAATTCACATAAATTTGTTGGCGACTCGTGATCGCCAAGGTGTTCTTTTACATCCATGTTGATATGCTAGTTGGCTTTGTTTTGGCTATGGTATATTTGGAAAAATCGCCAAATTATGGATCTCCTACCCATACATTCTCTGTCCGTTGAGAATAAATATATTCACTTTTAATTTCAAAATTGGTGAGGCCGATTTGTACATTATTTCCTGGAAACTTAATTGTTTTATTCATTCAATATTGGCCCAAATGAACATTCATATATTACACTATACGAATAATGTGCGGCTACTGATGGAGAAACAAACACATTTTTCTCCGTCACAAAGAATATTATTTTTTAGTTGAAAATTGTTTCAAGGACTATTAAATTATAAGTTTATTCTTAAGAAAAAAAAATTCCTCTGTTTGAATTTTTTAAAACTTTTTTTTTAAAACTTTTTTTTCGAAACGAAAATTTCACCATTTTCAAGAATTTCTCGGCAAATTAAAACTTCCTTTCTTCCCCTAAATCTGTCATGTGCGTTATCCTTAATGTTTTTATATTATAGCTTCTTTTGCATAAAAAATTTCATTTTAGATATTTTATTTCGTATTCCAAAAATCGAGTTTTGCATAAAAAAGGGCTAAATTTTTTAACTTATCAATGTATAATCCTTTGCATAAAAAACGAGCCGTCTTTTTTTATCTTAACAAAATATAATCTTTTTCTAAGAATGATAAAATAAGAAAATAATTTTATAACACGACATATATAGAATCATACACGTACTCTCTCTTGCTCTTCAAATCTAGAAAATATAAAAATACATGTTTCACTTCAAGTTCCTAACTTTTGAAGAAATCCTACAAGTTGCGTTGTAATAAATTATGGAAATATTTTCTAGGCAGAAACTACAACTTTAAAATGTTACCAAGAAGCTTGTTCATTCTGATCACAATGTGTTTGATCCAGAAAAATGTACTTTACGCCACGCATTCTCCAAATTAAATATTAAGTTTGCGCAAGAAAGAGGAAGTAAAACGTAAAGTTTTCAGTCCAGGAATATGAATTATGGAGTTCAAACTCTATTCTTCCTTTCATACAGAATAAAAATAGAATGCTGCTGCTTTATTATATTTTGTTGTGACAACCCGTGTTTCTGTGTTGTTTACTCCTTTACATGTTATCTGAAATACAGTAATATTTCGCAGGTTCTTTTTCAGACCTTTCAATGTGAAATGATTTCACCATAAACCTTTCTTGGCATAAACGATTTTATTTAGATGCATACTTATGCCACGGAACAAACATGAAGTATATAGAAAATAATAGTAATTAATCACATAATCAATGAAACTTCGCGCTCCATCATAGAACATTCCAGTCTTCTCACCACCAAGCTAGAGAACCTCCCCCAGCTTCTTTTTTTTTTCTTAAGTTTTTTCGTATCTCGTAGCGCCATCTATTGTCGACGATTCTTACAAATACACACACAATAGTTGGTTTAAAATGATGTACAATGCATTTCTGTTTCTTCTGAAAATTTCGTATATGCGGAATTTTATTTATTTTTTCGTGCTAATTTTTTTGAAGTGATAAGAAATATTTATTTTTCTGAAAATATGTGAATCTAAGTTGTTTTTCGTGCGGAATTCTTTTATGATGATGATGATGATGGATCTTCTACTTTGAAACTTACGATTGAATGTGATATTTTTACGAAATGGAATCACGAAGAAACTAGCATTTTCGATTCCTTAAGTAGTGTAAGTTTTCAACTCTCAAGTGGTTTCCATAGAATTTTGTTCGATTTTGTATATCGGGGAGTAAAATATATGGGGACAGAAATTGGAGAAGATATTTATACGAGCAAGTGGATTCTTAATTTGCGAGTAATTTGAAATATTTGAACAAAAAAAAACGACGTTAATTTTTATCTTTTTTCAAAAATTAACCTATGACAGGATGTTCCAAAATTTACCCAACAATTTCAGAGGGATGATAAAAAACATAAAGAAGATAGAAACTTAACGTAGAGAATGAGGTCTCGATCTCCGTAGGGAGAATTAAAATCTCAAAACATATATGCCATTCATGTGGCACTTGTTGCGTGGCCTCCACGTTCACCGGATTTCTATCTTTCAATCAGTGTGACTTTTTTTCAGTAGGTTGTGAGTTCAAGTAAATGCGACGATTGTGGACACAGGGGAAGATCTTATGCACAGATTGCATTGGTAGACATCAGAAATAATTCTGGTTACATCGAGTGCTGCTGGGAATCCTTTTTACGTTGTTGTAGTGTCTATGTGATTGAACGTTGCGTTGTCTATGTGATTCAAACAACTCTTGCAATAATCAATCAAATAAATCTTTTTGCTCTGATAAACTTTTTGTGGTATACTTCGAGGATGATACCTGTATATATTTTATCTTCTTATGCTTTCACCCTCTTTATGTATTTTAATTACTCTCTGGATTTTTCAATCTAATCTTGGAACACCCTGAAAATAAAAAGCTAGCACAGTCCCAGAAAAAAAAGGCAGAGTTGGAGAATG